GTATTTTATGTGCTGCCTTAGACTCTCTTGATCTCACCTGGACCTTTGATCCCTTGGTGACAAGCTACTAAGAGTTCTAGATACTTCTGCCACTATTGCTTTGAGTTTTGTCATCTGTACTGTCACTTGTTCCTTGGGAGTACGTACTTAGTCCCAGAACTTCTTCTACTGGACTCACCCTGACAGGAACCCTGATTAGATCCTAGGGGACCCACCTAGATTTTGACTTCTCCGGTGGCTTCCAGAATTTGAAAAGGAGCAAAGTGACAAGGCATGGACTCTGGCTTCCTCAGTAGCTGTCTAAAGAGATCAGATGAGATAGTTCCCTGTGAGCATAAACTATCACCAAAGGAAGCAGAACTAGGATGGTGTGAGTGCATCCATTCATCTCATTCTTCCTCCTAATAGTCTGAACAACCTGTCCAGAGATCTCTGTAAGGCCCAGCCATCAGTTATGCTCAGGGGAGCAATGTCCTCCTCAGTGAAGCATCACCATGCTTTGCTTTGTTTTCTCCCATTCTTTCGTGTCTACTTCTCTTTTCCCCTCATTCTGAGTACTCTGGGATTGAATCTCCAATGATGCCTTAGCATGTAGTACTTGTATGATTTTCAGTGTTCAAGGGAATTGTGCTGAGTTACCTGTGAGCTACAGTTCCCAGGATCTCCTGTCAGCTGTCTTCCGGCTAGGTTTGGTAAACTTAGAATGAGTTAATGGGATACTGAAGAGAAGGAGAAAGAGAATCCAGTATATCCTCATCCTCCTCACTTTAGGGGACATCTCAGGTAGAGGGTGAAGTTTTTCTTGTGCTAGTCCTTGAAGTAGGAATACATTCCTGGCATTACTCATCTTTGAGTTGCTTCAAAATCTTCTTTTACTTTTTAGCCAGTTCTTATATTAAAATCCATCTATTGAACTGTATGGCATGATCTTTTTTCCTGACAAGGAAATATATAACATGCAACAACAAAAGTGTAATTCTACTTACTGTGTTTGTGGCATGATAGAAATCATTTTTTGCCTCTATAAGATATATATATATATATATAGAGAGAGAGAGATATAGATATATATAAAAGATATGCACTTTGAAAAATGAGAAGACTGGGCTTTTAACTGATTCAAGTAAAAATTATCATAAGAATACTCTGCAGGTTATCAGAAAAGAAATCAAATCATTATTTTATCATTTTAAATGCCATTGATTTTTATGAGGTATGATACAAACACAGTGAATATTTAAAGAAGTAGTATTACACTAAAAAACACAATGCTTTTAATCTCCCACAGAAGACTCCCCCTCACTTCTAACACACTTATCCCGCTGTTTTTGGCCCTTTCTGAAACAGGTCTGGAAAGCTGCTTTGCTGAGCACCTTTTCATTGGTTGCCTTGATGTTCTGAGTTGATTCAAATCATTTGAAGCAGTTTCTGTCCAACAAAATTTTGACAATGTGCCCTCATACACCTTATTCACTATATCCATCACCCTGTTACATCTGGATCTTCCCTAAACTCAAAAATGCCCATGGAAAGCAAACATTTTAAGTGAACAGAACATGGAGATAGCCAAAGCAGCACAGCTAGACACACATGAAAGAGCACTTCCAGAACTACTTCAGAAAGTGGCAAGAAAGATGGGCCAAATGTGCTCAAAGCAAGGGGAGCACTTTGAGGGGGACTGAGTGCAATGTGTCTTTTAATGTGATAAACTTGCTTTTATTTTAAGCATTCATCCTGTTTTGGTCACATTATATAAATTGAGTAGTCCTTTCCCAAAAGCTATGATTCCCAGGTAATAAGAGAAGATGTGCTACAATCACCTTATAAGCTGCTTCTCTCCATCTTCACAGTGGCCACGGAGACCTGACTCTGGTCTGTGTGAAATTAGTAGTGTTAGAATGGAAGTGCCATTTCTTTAGTAAATGGAATTCAGAGTTCATTAGTTTCTGTACCTCCCAGGGTGCTTAAGCGACATAAATATCCCCCCTTACGTCTACTCCAGGTGCCACTGAGAATAGGCATATTTTTCTCCTGCAGGGCATACAATATTTCTAAAATTGGCCTACAAGAGATTTGATTTTCTCTTAAATGTTCTGTAATGGCTCAGCAATGATTTTTCAGGTCTCTTTCAATAATACTGACTGTGTGTAACACAAGCATACTGCCAGAAATACTTTGGTGTCTAGGCAGAGAGATGAATGCAGACAGTTTTGCCTCCAAATTTGGGGATAAAGGGAGCCACTCTCCTGGAACATGTGTGTGCAACACACATGCTATATGAACACCCATTCATGGCCTTCCGGTGGTCAGAGCAGCAGGAGGGAGTTGTGACAGGCAGCTGGAGTACAGTGAATCCCTGGGACAATTTGTTTGCTACCAAGTTTTTCTATACATCCTGAAAAATCCAACTTTATCATTCTGTAAATTGTTTCACAACAGGTGCCTTACAGCAGACCGATGGCCATTCACACTTGTACCAGAACGAAGGCCCGAGACTAACGTATAAAATCCTTTCAGTCAGAGAAGCCCATGAGCCTAGGGTTTCTGTGTTCTCCCACTATGTGACTTCAGCCTCACATGTGCTGGCTTTTCTCCCCTTCTGGAGAAGAAGAGGCAACCAGAATCCACTGATCTCACATCTAATGGTAACAGTAAAGGAGAAGCTGAGGGCCACTGGATTCTAGAGGACATGCTTGCATACCACCACATGGTCTTGCATGATAGGACTCCATCTGGACAAAAAGACTAGATGTTTCAGAAGAAGCAGGGCTATTGGTTCATATACACTGTGTCTGGAGTCACTGTGAAGTACTTCTGTATGTATTGTTAACTAATGGTGTTTCCGTGTCTCCTGAACTGCTCCACACTGCCTCCACCATGTAAGGACTTCCTTGGTCAAATCTCCCCATTACCACTGTATTAGTCTGTTTTCTGCAGCTATAATGAAATATCAGAGGATGAGTGATTTACAAAGAAGAGATTTATTTAAATCTCAGATTTGGTGACTGAAAGTCCATGATTGGCAGCACTATCTGGTCACTAGAATCCCGTAGGCTGTATCACAACCTGGAGGAGAACTGGGCACATGGAGAAGACATTAAGCACATAGGGTGGACTCAATGTACAGCAACCTATACTGATGAGAACTAACTCTCCTTGAGGCCACTGAGGTTGGTGCTACTACTGACCCACTTACCTCCCAAGAGGTGCCACTTCTTCAAGGTTCTACCATCTCTCTGCATCATCACACTGAGCACAAAACTTTCAATACATGAAGTTTTAGGGGACACACAAACCATATCCAAACCAGGGCATCCACAAACTCAAGGACTAAAGGTGGCCACAGCAGGAGGCCTTTAGCATCATGTCATAGTCATAGAATGGAGTGTACCTTGGTTCAGAAATTGTCATGACAATTATTAAATAGTCCTTTCCACAGAGAAGGCTCAAGATAGTTAAAACTAGACTGATATGTCCCAGAAGTTTGTTTCCTCCTTGAAGTGGCTGAAGGGCTAAGTTTGTTTAACAGCATAGTTCTTCCCAGCTACCAAAAGCTGTTACTGGTTTCAAATATTCTGCTGTCTTTAGAACATTAAGATCAGCCTTCTTGGTCAGACATGTGGTTCATGCCTATAATCCCAGCACTTGAGAGGCCGAGGCAGGAGGATTGCCACGACTTTGAGGCCAGCCTGGGCTACATAAGCAAGTGCAAGGCCGACCTGCTGCCCTACATAGTGAGACTCTGTCTCAACAACAACAAAAAGATGAGCCTTCTCCAGCATCCACACCAAAATGTATACACACAATTAGATCCTTTCCCTTGGGGCATTTAAGCCTGCTTAGGGCATCTTCTCTGCCAGGGTATCCTGCAGTGCCCAGGCAGAGAATGAAGAAGCAGAAGGATGGCACGGTGAGGGGGCCAGAGACTCACGCACAGTCTACTCCAGCCCAGCTGTGCGATGCACATTAATGTGACAGCCTGTCTGCTCCCCAAGATGAATCACAGAAAATTAGAGATGGGGAAGGGCCTATTAGTTCATCTACTCCATATCCCTGCCAGCTCACAAGCCCTCCCCTATGTCCTGTTTCCTTCCCAGTTTGATTTTAAATAGCATGAGATAGAGACAGAGCTGCTTCCAGAATTCCCTCTGGTGCATCCAGCAAATGCACAGTATTTGATGTTTGCTTCCTCTAATTGTGTACATACAGTACCGTTATGGTTGCTCACTTGGCACACCTCGCCTAGCAATGAAAAAGCTCCTGGATATAATTAGAAAGTGGGGACTTTCCATGTTAGAAAAAGAAATATTCATTTCATAAGAATCAAAGAACTGGTAGAGAAGAAAGAAAGGATGAACAGGGCTCCAGGTTACCTCATTTCAACTTCCTTTTAGCTATACTCTTATTGAGTATTGTTCAACTTTTGCCTTTTTTAAACAATAGCCAGAACTATGACTAAGCAGTGTCATTTTCTTCGGTTTCCACGTTTACTTTGTTTGAAAAGTTTTAACTTTAAAATATTTAATTGAAACAATTGTATCTATTCAAGGTGTACATGATGATAAATGCATATGTTGTGTAATAATTATCACTCTCAGTTAACACCCATCACAACATTAGATCAACATTTTGCGCATTAGATCCCTTGAACTTTCTTTGGTACTAGCTGAAACTATGACTAAGTAGAATTAGTGGTTTTGCTTTCCACATTTACTTCTGCTTCACTCTTTAATTTGATTACTCACCTCCTTTCTGTCTACATGACATGAAAGTTTCCAGCCCGTCGTTGCAATTAAAAGAAAAGCTATTCAAATATTATAGTAGGTAACCTCTTCCACTTCCTAATCATTTTGTCTTTAAAATTTTATCTAAATATAAAAGCAAAACAGTAAGCCTGGCACATCCTTTCTGGGTAGTCTTAAAATGAATGTGCACATTTGCTGCACTGGGATTCAGGCAGTAGGTCTCAGCAATACTTTCTAAAGGGTGTCTGTGCTTACCTTAATCTGCCCTTTCAAGCAAGGCTCACTGCACACGGACCGCACTACTCCACTCTTGTTCATCTGTATTTTGTAATCATCAATGTTCAGTACACCTTCGTGCCAGGTCCCAACGTGCACGTAGTCATAGCGATTAGCTTCTGTGTACTGTAGATTCATGATGTCATACCTGCAAAGCAAGCAACATTTGAGTCTTGTAAGATATGGACATGCTCTAGCAAACAAAGAAATTTAGCAACTAGATCTTAATAAAGAGAAAAAAGCTAGAATAATCACACATCCCAACAACAGCTACTGTAAGAATTTTAGTTTAATTGTTTCCTTTGACTTTTCAGAAAGTATCTGTATTTCCTAAAGAACTATGCATCCATATTTTCTAAAGAAAATATCACTCTCAACCCATTTTCTGATTATAGTCCAAAAATAACTCTATGTGTATTGTGTTGATGATGTCCTTCAAATCATCATTCATTTAATTATTCTTTGAACAAGTTGTAACCCGAGAGAACATTAACTGATATATTTAATTACTTATAATCCAAATATCCTTCACTCATCCACTTTCCATATTCAGATTAATAGAGGGAGGTTTTACCAAGTCTGAAATATTTTTTAGGTGCTAGAAGCACAAGTAACGTGAGAAAGACATCTTTAACTAGTAGGGATGCTGAAAATTTAATATCTTATACATGAGCACTTAAACTGAACTCTTTCCCAGCTAGGACAAACATATTTGGAGTCAAATAATTGGTGTCAGTTATTTCAGTAATTTTAAATGGAGAAACATGAGTAAGGGTAAAGTATACATTTAGGTCTTGTCCTTGTAGTAATGCATATCTTTTTATAAGAATAAATCTTTACTGCAGCTGAGCATGTTCAAGGGGCCACACTTCATTTTTCCAGGGAAGGAAACAGGAATTTCTCCAGTGCAATGGAAAGAATGGAGGACCTGACATCAGATAATACAAGCTGGAGCCCTTCTAACATTCATTAGTACCTAGGAATGTCATCAAGCTCTTCGGGATGAATGTATAGTTTCAATGGTCTAGATGTTGCCATCTTACAATTCACATCCTAAAATGCCAAGCACCAAAGTGATAGTACTAGGAGACAGCTTTGGGGAGGGGACTAGGTCATGAGCACAGTCCTCACAAGAGAGATTTGTTTCCTTTTCCCCTAAAACCTGCCTTTCCTCTTACATCACATGACCCAGTTAGGAAGTGCCATCTGGGCATCAGAAAGCAGGACCTTAGTAGACACCAAACCTGCCGGTGACTTAATGCTGGACTTCCTATGCTCCAGAACTGTGAACAATAAATTTCTACTATGTGTAAGCCACACAGTCTACTGTATTTTGTTATATCAGACCCAGATAGACTAAGACAGTATGTAAAGCCATATCATGGACTCACTCATACTTGTATTTCCACAAGTATTTTAAAATACTCTGGTTTTTCCATTTCTATAAGAGAACTGGGGAAAATGCTTGTGTTGGCATGGCCATTTGTCTCCCAGTCATTGAAAAGTCTCTGGTATTCTTCCATCTTCTTTCCATGTTGTTTTTCACTGCAAGCAAACCGTAACTCATGGGGCAGTGTGCCCAAACTCGGTTTCGCTCCCTTCTTACTGGATCCACAGTGGGATTCTTTTTTTGCCCTTTCCATGCAGAGTTCATGCCCTTCTGGGCTAGAATGAGTCATGGCCTCTAGCTCTGTACGCCTGACCCAAGGAAATGTTAATTAACCCACGCATGTTCCTCTTCCTCAGCTCTCTTCCTCCTGCTGCTCTTCTAATCCACCCTGAAATCTTTCCTCTTTAAACTTCACTGAGACACGATCTTTCTCAGCCTAGCACTCTGGAAAGCTAGTGCTAATCAATCTAAAGTGGCTTCTGAGTACTACTGGCTGTATCTGGCCTGATTCTTTATTTAGATAATGGTTACCCACTCATCGGCATTTCTGCCTGTTCTTAATGTACAAATGTGTCCTGCTGTCCACAGGGTAGTTTCTGGCTTCTCCATATCCAGATTCTGGGAGTTCCCACAAAGTGCTTATTCCGAAAAGAAAAGCAGACTTTGGGAGAGAAAAGAAGCTCTCCTTCACTGGGCAAGCAAAAACTTACCAAGAGTGAGCACAGAGAATGGTGCACCTGGAGCTCAGGATTCATCTTTTGAATATAAATCTTTTGCCTGTAAATCAGTTTCCTAAGACTTATTTCAACTTCCTCAATTACTCTTTCATAAGGGAAATTGGTTCACACTTCATTAACATTTAAAAACCGAAAAATTCACAGTGTTTTGGTATGAAAACACATTTTGAAAAGTCTCAAACACTAGAGGAAAAAAACAAGAAGAAAGAAATACTGAGAGATACCAAAGGGCAAAATACTGACTTACAGAAATGTGTGCACAGTGTGTGTTAATGAATGCTGCTTTTTCTTCTTGACCCAGGCTTCCTATGGGGCATGTTAGCCTTTATTTGGAATATCCTCATGCTGCAAATTACACTTCACAGCATCTTCTCAATGCGTCGGGTTTATGTTGTGTGATGATTAACTAAAATAATTACAAGAGCGAGCCAAAGCATGAGTGGCGATAAGGCAGGAGCTGGAAGCCGCCTGAGGAGGCTGGAACAGTAGCTAAGCAGAGATTAAGCTGACCACCTTCAAGCAGGAGGAATTCATCCCTGAAAAGGCGCCAAGGGGAAAGCTCATAATTTGAATATGTAATTAAACATGGGAGAGAAGCAAGCTGAAATTGGGCCTATGTTTTGGATAACTTACAGATGGAGAAAGGAGGAGAAAACTTGTAATTTATTTGGTATAAAAATCCAGTAAATGTTTAATTGTTTGACCAATCTTACATGTCTATTATTTGTTTATCTGAGTCACCAATTTGAAGATATCAGTATGCAATACAACAACCACTGTTAATTTCCTACCACCTTGTCTGAAATTCTGTATTGCTTGTATTGTTTTTGTGTTATTTTGTAAATGTATGTGTGTTTGTTAATGTGGTTTCATTCTTTTATCTTTAAAATCAAGAAAGAAAAAATATTGAATTATAAAAACAAACAAAAAATGCATCTGACCCTGCACCAGGCACATTGTATGTTTTCTTTTTCAGATTGTGTGGGAAGGCTTTACATTACAAATCTGACCTACTACTGAGTCTCTCTTTCAGTGGAATTCAAGATTATAGTGGTGAGTTTAGAGGGGCAGGTGGTTCCTCTCTGAATTTCAGGTCAGTTTGTTTCTCCTGGTACCACGTCCAAAGGCGCTCAGCATCCCAAACATTTCTATATTTCTCACATCCTGGGTTACCCGTCCCACTCACATCCTGATCAAAAGCTGTCCCTACTAACTGGCAGCGCAGAAGGATCCCTATAAATCCATTAGTTTAATTGCTGACAATGACATCTGTATCCTTCCTGGAGCTGTTGGATTTTAACAGGGAGATTCCCACTTAGGCTCCATAACGGATTATCTGTAGGTAGAACCTGAAGCATCCATAGAAAGAAGAGATACATGGAGAATTACTTAGGGTCACGCATTCTCTTATAGTACTTTTACTATGACATTAAGAAGGTTGCCAGCAATTTTGCCTAATTTTAGGGTTAGCTAGAGAGCAGCATGATGTGACAAAAGATTACAAGCCTCAGAGTCAGGCTACTCTGCTCTCACCACCTTCCTTTTTTTGACTTCAGGTGACTTGCTTAGTTCACCTGACACCTAGTTTAATCATACATAAAAGAAGGATAACGATACACTGGAGCAGTGGGAATTAAGTGACTTGATGCTTCATTTTAACACAACCTGCGCCTTCCTAGAAAGCTATAGCTCTGCAAAATCATAGACTGAAAAATAATAGGGGCCTGTAAGGTTGTGAGAGTACTCTGCAGAGGCCAAACTGAGGGCCTTTCCTCTTTCAGCTGAAGGTTTTAATTCTTCTGCCATTCTAATTATCCCTTTCCTAAGAAAATTTATGTGATTGAAACTGGCATAATTTCTATGTACCAGTTACATAGTGTGCTTATGGATGGCATCAAAGCAAGTGCTGCAGAAAAGATTGTGTGTAAAAGGACTTGGTGTGTGTGTGTGTGTGTGTGTGTGTGTGTGTGTGCATGTGAGAGTGCATAAGCCTATTTAGTTAGGTTTTATGGGATTTTTTGCTTCTCGTTTGATTAGTTCTTTGAAAGCCATTAGAGACTACACCCTAGAAATAAAATTCTTTCCATTCTCTTCCAGGAACAGGTTAGCACACATACAAGTTAGCCTGAGAAAAGGGGTCACATGTGTAGGAGATAGTTCTCTTCACCTACTGAACACTTTAAGTGGAGGCAATATCTGTAGTATTTTCTGACCAGAGTAGCCTGGGGACTGATTGCTCAGAAAGACACATAGCAGTGCAGGCAGTGCTTGGGAGTCTGCTGTTGGCCAGGTGTAATCTCTTTGTGGTCTTTTGGACTTCACAACATGTTCCAGGCCTTCTGAAGGAAGTGTCAGGTGACACCTCGGTAGGGGGATAGCACTGGAAGGTGTTTTGATGTTTTAAATACCAATGTGGTCTTTAGCAATATCCATCTGATACTGACCCAGTGTTTTTAGTGTTTCAGCTGAATCCTTCATGATACCCAGGCATCACGAAACCAAAGGGAGTCCTACTTGCCATCTGTCCTGCACAGAAGGTTCACCATGTTATTCAGAACCATTATAGAAAAGACTGCGTTACCTTCCAGGAGCATCCCCTTTCTCATCAAACCACACCTCCTCTCCAGACACACCGATGAAGGAGGACTTGATGAGGAAGTCCAGGAGCTTGCTGCCGTCGATGGGCTTCATTGCGTCACACAGGCCCACGTGGCCAGGGCAGAGGGCGTGGTGCATGTTCTGCAGCCCATGTGCCATCGCATAGATGGCGTTAATGACAAACCCCATCTTACTGTCCTGGACGTAGTTTTCTTCTAAGCTTTCATTGCCTGTAATAGTAAAAACAGATCTTACCAAGGTCACATTCATCAAGACTGTCTGCATGCTTAACTGTCACATGTTTTCAGGGCTTTCAGGGCAGAGAGGAGAAGCCCAGCTCAGTATGTTTCACACTTGTTGGCAGCTGTGGTATATTCTGTCTGCAAGCAGTTCGTTCAGTTTAATTTTCTCTACTCAATAATGGTTTTATGGGATAAAGAGGGATCTCTACACAAGGTGAAAATGCAGACATTTTATAAGCCAAGCATGGTGGCATACACTTATAATTCTAGCACTCTGAAAGGCAGAGGCCGGAAGATTGTGAGTTCAAGCCCAACCTAGGCAATTTAGAGACTTCATGAGACACTGTCTGAAAACAAAAATACATACATACGTACATACCATAAATAAATAAATAAATAAATGGCCAGGAATATAGTTCAGTGCAAAGGCCTTGAGATCAATTCCCAGGACTGAAAAATTTTTTTTCCTATAAGAGAATCTTTAAGGAGCAATAAAAATAACTCTTATTCTCTTTTGGTTCCTAGGAACTTACACGAAATTCTCTCCCTATCTCATAGTACTGAAGAGCATTCTTTTATGCTCTATGACAATCTGCAACTCATGATGAGTCAGTTTTTAAATTTGCTAGCCCCTGGTGTGTTTTCTTTTGGTGATCCCTCTATTTTCATCATTCTAAGGTCATAAAAACCCAGAGTTTGAATAAAACATAGATATGAAATATCTTTTTATTTATGGCTGCAGTACAGAAATAATTAAGCAAGATTTGCTAATTTTTAGAAGCCTGGGTGAAATATTTCTTGATGGAAGAGTCACACTACACAGTAATTTCAGCCTTTAGGTTTTACCTGTGAATTTCAAAAGCCCTATTATCATTTCTGCCCCAGTAAATGAGTCCCCCAAGCAGCAAAGAGCTTCAGAGGAACAGTACTGCATTAAATCTAAGCTTCATATTGGAAGTCAAATTTTTAGTACTTGCATATGGGTGACAAATTTGGAGACCATTTGAGTTTGATAAAATAAATGTAACAAGTTTGGAAAACAACACGGAATTGGTGTGCACCACTGGCATAATTTGGAGATTTTGTACTTAGTTTCAGAAATGTGCTTCTCTCTGCAGTAAGCTTTCCTTTGCCCATTTAACTGGTAGTGAGGGGTCTACGGGACCCATGCGTGCCCACGGCACTAGAGGTTGGGAAAGTCGGTAGATTCAGCTGCCCGTGGGATTGAGAACAACCTGAGACTCTCTGTGCTTTCTGCCAGCTCCCTCTCTGTTACAGCCTAAGTATTCATTGGACACATGTTCTTGTGCTGAAGGCCCACAGAGGGTATCTAAGAAGTTGAAGACCTTGGAGTTGTTAGAAGGAATGGTAAAGAGTTTTGACTTTGATATTGAGCTCGGGATGAAAATAGAAATTTCTAAAAAGCTCTATTTAAAGGATGCTCCACTTAGATGTAGTTGAAAATGTGCAAAAGATACCAGGATGTCTACCCCCAAGAGTAAGATACAAAATACTCGGCCCAGACAGAAGAGGAAAATCATGTAATTCCAATCCATATTCCAGTTTTGCTTGGTAGGATGCTATTCAAACAGAAATTAGCTAGCGTAATGTTTTCCACATTGAACAGAACCTTTCCAAAAGGAAAGGAGGATTAGAAGAAACAGAGAGGGCATTTTAAAATCAAGCCACATAGACAAAGCATAGAAATTTATATAGGTGGAAAGCAAAAATCCTCCGTGCAACACTGCAAAGTCACTGAAGTTGGGTAACATGTCTGCCACCAAGAATCCCTGAGCTTAATGATGGTTTTCTTTCTCTGTTATGGCAAACTTACTAGGACAATGAGAGAAGGAAATTAGTGACCTTGTCTGATAAGTTTGAGCAAGACTGTATAGGCTATTTTGAGTCCCAAATTCTGGAATCAGAGAAACTTCTAAGGGTGGGAATATTGATTGAACAGTCAAAAACCTTCCATAGAGTGGCCACTTAAAGGGTCCTACTTCATACTAAAACCATTCACCTGAAGTTGTAACTGTTAAAAAAATTGACAGTAGGATCAAAATTATAGGAATAAGTCTATAACATTCTTCACCACATGGAAAATTCTCTATTAGAGAGAAGCCTATGGCCACTGCATTTGATATTCCCATCTTGGTAATGATTGTTTAAGACTTATTTTATCTGTAAAAATTGTGCTGGTGTCCCCAGTACAGGTGTCTTAATCCAGTGGATGTGTAGTGGATACTTCCATGAATAGCACTGAGACAGTAAGTATACTCAGATGCCTGTGAGGTCAGTGTTTTCTTTCTGATCCTTATTTAGCTCAGTCATATAACATATCCAAACCAGGTCACTTTTCAGAGTAAAAGTGAGTGCTACCAGTAATTATTCCAGAACACAGGCATAAAAAGACAAATTGGGAATACTGATTCATGTCTCCTGATCCGTGTGCACTCTAACTATACCTATTTACTGATTTAATTGTAAGTATATATATCCACATATGTATATATATAATATATATATTCAGTACAATTTTTTCATTAATTTTAAATGATTTTACATTTGTTTAACTTTTCTATTTAAAAAAGAAGAAGAATTTATTTAACTTTAGTGTAACTATTTTCAATAATGTTAGTAGCTACCATATTTTTAGTATTAGCTATCTGTAGCACTCAATAAATGAGATTTAATGTTCACTATTTTCCTGCCAAATTGGCAGGAATTTCACCATTTTACAGGTCAGAAAGAGTGTATTCTAACTTGGATTCAAATGCTTTCTTGATCTTTGTTCCTTCTGTTACACTCAGTGGCTATATGTCACAGGTACACAAAGCTACAGAGGAAGTTCCAGAAAAGTGGCAGAGGACAGAGCATCCTGCCAGGTACCAGCATCTTTGCCAAGCCCATGTTGCGGCTTCTCCCTGGGATTGCTCCAGGTGTGCACAGCTGCCTCTCTGACAGAAACTGCTGGCACCCAATCAACTGACAGCAAATATGACAAAGAAGCTGATCCTGTCAGTATCTGTCACACAGAGGAAAGGAGGCTAGACATTTGTTTCCAGGGAATAGTTCCAAAGTAATAGCTCACACTCTTCTCTAACCAAAAATAGCTTCTGTGTAGTGCCAGTCTGTAATGAGCTCATGTACTTCCCTACTCTGGCAGGCTACCAGCTCTACATACAAAGGAGGAGATGACCACTAGCAAACTCTCCCCTCAGCTACTACCCACCTCACCTCTGCTGTCTCCAGTCAAATGAACTATCATTTGGAACATGTGGCATTGAGCTGGAAAATCAGGCAGCCTTTGCAAGATTATCCTCATTACCATAGCAACTGTCCCACATAATGTTGCCAGGATCTATCATGTAATAAATAAAATACATTGCAGGATTCCCTGTCCCCCTAAGGTCAGATATTTTCATGAACAGTGAATAGAACATCAAAAACTAATAACACTGTCACTGGGTGGGAAGGTGAAAACACTCTGATTCCCTGGGCTTTTGTGTCTTTTTATAACACTAGTCTCAAAGTTATTAGTGAGAAGGAGATTTCATGTTTCATTTTCTGTGGTGCATTAACTATTATAGACCACTAGGGTGTCATTAAGCTATTCCCTCTCTAATATACTAAATGGAATCAAATAATTGAGGTTGACTGTGTTTATTTACCTTCCAAAGAATACCTGCCTGACTGCTTCACAATGTTTTGTGAAAATAGCTACGTTGATTCTAAATAGTAATCTTGCTCTTTTTGGCAAAACGCCTGAGGACCATAAATTGTTATCTGAGTGCGGCAGCACACAGGGTCTCCATGGGGGCAGGAAAAGGCAGTGCAGATGTAGAAACAGGAAATTCATGGCGGCTGGGAGAAGGATGGGTAATGCTATCTGCTACCATGTAGGGTGATTACTCAGCAGAGTGGAACAGCAGAAAGCACCCTGGGCCAAGCACCCTAGCCCATGGCATTTAGATGCAGTTCCACCACAGTCTATCAACGACAAATTTCCAAGGAGTTGTGGAATTTGGACAATAGTTTTGACCTCCTTGTGCCTCAGTTTCTGAATCTCAAAAATAACACAGATAGATTTAGATTATCTTCCTAAAGACCTTTCTGCCCTTTAAAGTTGTATGCATTGCTCCTCTGTTCTTCATTTACTAACACCTCTAGCAGAGCCACTGATGTATGTTGTCTTTTCCAGTCTTCACCCCATAATATAAGATAAATTCTCCTATCACCATGTGTCTTAGTTGCTTTCCTCATTACTGAGACACAGTACTTGGCATTCATAGCGTTAAGGAAGAAAGGTTTATTTTGGTTCACAGTTTGTAGAGGTTTCAGTCCATAGTCCCAGGTGGCTCCAGGGCAGGGTGGCACGGCAAAGGGATATGGCAGAGAAGAAACAGCTCATGGCATGGCAGCAGGAAGAGAAAGAACAAGAGAGGATGGAGGGACATAGACCCTTCCAGGCCACACCCCCAGTGACCTACCTCTTCCTCCTCCTCCTTCACCTCCAAACACCACTTTTAGCTATCAGCTCAACGGTGGATTGATCCACTGATAAATGTCACACCCCAACAATCCAGTCACCTCCTCAACCCCCAAATATGTGTGGATGGGGCTTTGCAGGGACAGCTACATGTAAACCATAATGCCACTTTACAGATGAGAAGACCAAAGCACAGAGCAGTCAGGGCATGACTAGGGAGGGCAGGGGTGAATTCTTGTTATGGTTTGTGACCAAATGTCCCCGCAAAGCCTCATACAATCATAGGTACGGGCTTCCAGAATTTATGATTGACTCATGGTCCAATGCAGGGATTATGGGTGTGAGTGCTACAACTGTCCTGGGGAGGGCAGCCTGCATACAATAAAAGGGAGGGAAAAAGGCTTGCTCTCCAGCTCCCCTTTTGCTCTTGTTGCTTTTGCTGTGTTCCGTCACCGTGAACGCTTGCTTTCTGCCATGTGCCACTCTGCCTTGGAGCCAG